AATTTTTTGTAAAGACACTTAAGTACCTAGACTTCAAAGTCTTCGGAAAAATTATATATTTTTGAGGAACAACATTAAAGTCGTCATTTCGTAAATTCTATATATGGGATTTATAATGACAATAGTAATAATAATAGCAATTATTACTCATTTTTTTGTATTTAAGCCGACTTGTTTCATGTCAGTTGTATTAAGATCTTGTTTTTTTTTTAAAAATATTTAATTGAACTATAGTCTGGTCCGATTTATAGTAAATAATACTTCTAACGGCAAATAATTATTATTTGGTCCAGCATAGTTTTTTAACTTATTTAGAGTATGCTGAATCCGAAAAAATATGCTGGCCTTCATGAAAATGGCGTTAAAGAGGTCAAAATGGCGATTCAAAATGGCGGACATCCAATTTTTCTAATTTTCTCTTAATATCGTTCAAAAAGGAGAAATAATGTGTGAATATCTCACTGAATGTAATACAAGTATAAAAATGATAATAGAATGCTAACATCATTAGTTTATTTCAGAAAATTAGGCGTTTCTACACTTAATTCGAATTTTCTCTGATTTTTTGGTCTATTGATCTATATTTCGCTTTGTTCAGGATTTTACATTTGCAAATATCCATACACTGCAGATTTGTATTTTTTCCTCTGTATCTCACTATTCTTCAACTGAATGATGGCACAGCTGTAAGTTAAAAGTCAAAATGGCGGATATTCATCTTTTTTTAAAAATTATTTCTTAAAGAGAAAGGATTTGTGAATATTTCACTGAGCGTAGTACAACTATGTAAAATGCCAACAGAACACTAATTTGACCACTTTAAATTGGAAAATTTAGTCGTTTAAATTTGAAATGTGTTAATTAGCTTAAAATGGCGATTCAAAATGACGTCTGATACACTCAAATTTCGTAGAAACTGCTTAATTCTGGTTTGTCATGCAGAAAATAAATTACAGTTTGTTTTTTATATATATAGTATATTGATTAATCCATCAAATATGAACAAAAAATACATGAAAAGATACATTTTTTTTCTGGAAATAGTTAAACAAACTCGACTTAAGAGTTTCCAAATTTCCCCCTTCGTATTTGACCGTACGTGTTCCAAAGCCTTTGAGCCCCCGTCAACCTAAAATCACTCCCGAATCCTGTCATTATAAACTCGCACTTCTACCTCTACATCCCTTGGCACTTTGTTCTAGCTTTTTAGCACTTATAAAAACTTATATATAAAAATATATCTTCAACATCTTCTATTCCAGTTTCATTTGGTATATGTTTCAGTCTGTCTTCGGAATTTTGGTACTCAACACTCAAGTAAAATGGTGCCCCGTGTCAAGGATATAAACCTCGTTGGCACGTAGAAGATCCTTTCTCTGGAGTTCGAAAAAGAGTAAGCTCACTGGGGGCCGCCAGAGAATTCAAAATCCTTCAAAAACCGATTATTTAAACTGGTAGTCCGCCGAAACATGGCTGAAAAATTGCCGACTCGGCGTTAAACAATATACAATCAATCAGCCAACACTGAAGGAACAACACATTTATGTTCAAATGTTAAAAGTCTATTTTGTTACCCAAAACCATATGCAAAATGAACTAGATGTACTGTGAACAATTAGCTCACTAAATGACACCCTGGTCTCCCATATGAATATAATGACAGTGTCCATGTTTTGCTATGGGAAACCCAAAATATGTTTCGAATCAAAAAGTAAAATAGGAGCTCACAATGGCAATATGTATTAAAGATTCTGTGAAAGTTTCATCAAATTTCATTAAGTAGTATGAGAGAAGTTGCGGATAAGAGATGGGTACCCCAAAGCGTAACAGACGGGCGGACGGACATACCGATTACTCTATACCCTCTCGCTTTTCAAGCGGGGGTATAAAAAAATCTCTGATATTCAAGACATGTAGCTCTTTATTTTGTGACCTCGTATAGATTTGTTGTCTTTTAGGGTAGAAAGGTCATTATATTTGCAAGAAAATTCTCAAACTTGATCATCTGAAATCACATTGTGTGCATATTTTGGTGAGAAAAATTATAAAATTATGCAATTTAAGAGCGCCTGCAGATTCCTCGTGATTCTTATCACTTACAAGCTTTCGTACCAATAGGCCTCAGCCATTCCTGATTTCGATCTAGTCAACACTTCTCTTGACAACAAAATTTTCTTGAACACTTCAAGAACTTTACAAGGCAATTTGATCCACACTTCTTTGTTAGGATAGTGTAAGGTTTTATCAAGAATGGAGGGGGGATTGAACACAAACATTTTCTTCTTTCAGATTTTGTAAATTTTAAAATTTTAAAATTTATATACACTAGCTGTTCAATAAAAAATTATCCGTTCACAGTATGAAATATTTGAGAATGCTGTTGAATTTTTGACTGAGAATAACAAAATGCAAATTTAGGGACACAGAATCAAGAAAATTTATGGTTTACGTATATTATACTGAAAATTCTTAAGATATATGTTTATATTTGGATATTATAATAATTATATTCAGTTTTATATGATGTAACAATTACTAGCCCTATAATTGGTCATGGTCAATCATTTTAAAAACCATACTAACTTATGTTGCACTAGACCTTCCACATGAACGTAAACATTTATTTTTTTCTACACTGGACTAAAATAGATCAAGAATTCCCAACAACTGAATGTTCACTCGGCTTAATGCTCGGGGATACTGCTCTGGGGTGGCTTAATTTTCATATTGACCTCAAAACAGCAATTATTGTATGAAATTACTAACTTTTTATATGAAGAACGATGGTGAGACAGGTAAAAGGTAAAATGTCTTCGGAATTGTCGTCAAAAATTTATCTCAATAATAGAACTAACTAAACAAAAATCCATGTTATAAAAATCATAAGTCATTAACAAAAATATCCTCCAACTTTCAATGCATATTTGAACATTATTTTCATGAAAAAAAAAACTGTAATAATTTATTTTCTGCAAAACGAACCAGAATTAAGCAGTGTGGGTATTTTACGAAATTCGAGTGTATAAGACGTCATTTGAATTGCCATTTTGAGCTAATTAACACATTTCAAATTTAACCACTAAATTTTCCGATTTAAAGTGATCAAATTAGTGTTCTATTGTTATTTTACATAGTTGTACTACAATCGGTAAAATATTCACAAATCCTTTCTCCTATGTAAACGACATTAAGAATTAAATAATTTGAAGAAAAAAAGATGAATATCTGCCATTTTGAATCGCCATTTTGACTTTTAACTTACAGCTGCGCCATCAATCAGTTGTAGAATAGTGAGATGCAGAGGAAATAATACAAATCTGCAGTGTATGGATATTTCCAAATGTAAAATCCTGAACAAAGCGGAATATAGAGCAATAGACAAAAAAATCAGAGGAAATTCGAATTAAGTGTAGAAACGAGTAAATTTTCTGAGTTAAACTAATAATGTTAGCATTCTATTATCATTTTTATACTTGTATTACACTCAGTGAGATATTCACACATTATTTCTCTTTTTTCAAAGATATTAAGAGAAAATTAGAAAAATTGGATGTCCACCATTTTGAATCGCCATTTTGACCTCTTTAACGCCATTTTCATGAAGGCCAGCATATTTTTTCGGATTCAGCATACTCCAAATAAGTTAAAAAACTATGCTGGACCAAATAATAATTATTTGCCGTTAGAAGTTATTTCTAGCCTTCTTTTTAAAAATCAGGACCAGACTACTACAGAATGTTCCCTCTATCGGATCAATATAAATGACTTTTGGTCATCAGGGGATGCTCACTCCTCCTAGGCACCTGATCCTACCTCTGGAATTTCCCTATTTTAATCCCTCTTCACATTTTTAAATTTGATTAATGCAATCATTTTTTTTGAGATCGATCACTGTTTTTTCTATTCATCTTTTACAGTTATGCTATCCTTATTTACGGGAAACTCTAATATGTTCTTTGGTAACTTCTTTTTTCTAATCTTCGTTGCGATTGGCTCCCAGCAGGAACATTTTGGTGCTGTTTAAACGTTTATACAAATTTTCTGTTTAGTAAATACATAACCTAACCCTTTATGAAATATTTATTTTCATGGTGCTTCTCAATGAGAGAAGCAAACTCTATGATATCGAAGTAAATATGCCAATGGTCCAACGGTAAGGCGTTGACTCAGGACACCTCGCATTGCGAGGATGTCATATAACTATTTATTCTCTCACAGTTCTCTATAGTTAAGTCGGATTTACATAAAATAAGATTTCTGTGCCTCAAAACAAAATGCATGATAGCTATCGATAATAGAGAAAGAAATAGAAAAGAGTAAATAGGCCCTATATATACTAGTATTTACATTTCCGTCTACTTTTCCTTTAGTATACATACAAAAAATGAATGAGTTAAAACATGCCAAACTTGTTTGACACTTGAGGTAATGTGCATAGTAACAATATATACAATGTATATATACATTCTGTACCAAAAACGGAAAATATTTCTTCATACTCAGTAAGTCAGTAACACTAAATGTATTGCATGAATCTTAACTTACCCGGTTATTATTTCAATTTTAACCAATTTTATTACTCAAGGTTTAAGAATGCAAAGTTTGTCACTGTGAATTTTTAATAAATTAAATCATTAGTGAATTAATGCAGAATCCACAAGTAAAAATAATCTAATATATGCGCATATATTTATATATATATGCTTTAAAAACGCTTTAAAAAAAGATTTTCTTTTTAGTACAGTCGTTGAGAGGGTGTTAACAACGCTACATCCGAAGAGGTGATACAAAGTGTTAGAAAAATATGACGAATAGGATGTGTCTTGGCAATAAAATCGAGGACAAAAGAAATATTTGGCTTATTAATTATTTAAAAAAAAATATTAACCTGGTAATAATATCGTTTATAAATTGAAAAAAAAAATCGAAGAAAATATTTGATTCAAAATTGATTATTTATTGCAGTTTCGTAATATTTACATCTCATACATATACATGACTGTATAATTAATAAAATATGGGTCTAGTTTGATCCATATAGATCACTAATTATTCACCAGTTTCACTTCGTATGTTTCTCTTGTTTCTAGATTTATTTGTGTATTCTTTGCCATGACAACTCTGTAACTAAGAAAAAGTATTATTTTAATTCTTTTAAGAATTTTGTTCTTTTTAAAAGATGGATACAACAGTTCTATAATTAATTTTGTTGTAAATTGTCCAGATCCCTTTCAAGTAGCAAAACTTACAGATTTAAATAGTTTTATATCTACGTGAGGGATAAAGGGTGATGTCAGTCCTTTTTCCCAATAAGGTTTATCAAAATATGGGTATTTGCAACATAAATCACAAAATCTGAATATTGATCATTGATCAGTTCTGAATCACAGTTATCAGAGAGCCTTTTCAAAAAAAAAAAAAAAAAAAAAAAAATGGGGGCCCCAATTTTTAAATTTCTTATGAAATATATTTCTTAAATCTTACTTATAATAAATGCATTGGAAAATATATCAACACTCTTTCACTATGTTTTTCTTACTTCTGTTTGTTTAATACAACCACCACTGTAGACTTCGGATTTCTGTCGTAACACTTGTTGATTCTATCATTTATTTTTCTAGGATATGGATTCCACTTCCCATTATAATCTCGCCATAGCCATTGATTTTCCGCAGTGTATGTCTCAGATTCCTGTGACCCATCAGCTTCAATGTCTGAAGAGGAATCCTCAGAAACTCTATCATTTTTGAAATACTGTCCTTTTGGTAATTTCAGACACGGAGATCCCAGCCCTGCTTTCTTTTGTTCAGTTTTATCCTTTCCTCCAATACCGGTCTCACCAGTAGCTTATAATAAAGAAAGGAACAAAACTAAACAGGAAACTAGTTCCAATGTCTGTTTTTAAGGGACATACTGTAAACCAACTTTTATTCGCGTGCGAGAAATTTTCGCGAAGTTCGCGAGAGCCTCGTCGTCGCGAATATTTCTCGCCGCGAACCGGTCCTTATAGTATATTTGTCTATTTAAAAACAGATGCAAAAAGGCTTGATCGCGAAAATTAATCGTCGCGAACTAGTTTATCCCTGGTAAATCGCGAAATAAAGTCGTCGCGAATAAAAGTTGGTTTACAGTATGTAGCTCAAATTTAGCATTTCGGTAAAGCATGAAATTTCTAAAAGCTTTTTATATATGTAATGTAAGGAATAAAAAAATACCAAAGAAACCTTGTGTTTACGATAAACATATATTTTTTTTTTATTAATCCTAGGTCTATCTATATGAATATGCATGCATTTTGTACCTTTTAAGGCCCCACCACGATAGGGTTCAGATGCTGTTCTGGTTAAGGCTCTCATAACATCACAGTTGGTCTGTAAGAAGCTAATCACTTTTGCTGAGAAGGGATCAACGAATTAATGATGAAATTATTAAAGGATTTGATTTATGTTTATGATGGTGTGATGACACAAATAAATATAATTAAATTTAAGCAGGTTTTCCAATTTTACCGCACTTTGTAAAATTCAATTTGAGTCTCGAAATGTTGTTTTAAAGATAAAAGCCAAGGCTATTATATTTCAAACAACATTTCTAAACCAGAGGAGGTTATTCTGCATCATTCACGACAACAAAGGACTTTATTTTTATTCTACTAAGAGCTTTAAAATACGGCTTATCGTTTCTTCTATAGAGAAACAAATTAGGTCTCCATGTCTTGATTACTCTGTTCAAATTCCAGTTAACACCAAAGAGAAAATTTATTTCTATACCTGCGTATGGAAGGCAGACGATTAGAGATTTCGCTGTATTAAAAATAGTCTTAATTTGTTTGTTTCATAAATTTATTATTTTTTATGATTGTACAATACACAAAATCACGCAGTTTTCTATTTTATTGCGTTATCACTAAACATGCTGAAACCACAGAGTTAAAATATGGTGTAGCGATGTCCGTGGAAAAGCCCCGCTTAGCTATAAAAACCTACATTTATCAGCTTCTTGCAATTTACACAGTGTTTGGACTGCGAAAGACAACACAATGATGAGTCTAAATAAATATTTCATTTTAGAGTCAAATATTTATTTCAACTGTACAGATTTAATACGTTTTTTTTTTTTTTAATTTTTTTTTTTAGATCTAATAATTTTTTGACGAGGTTCGTGATCTTTTGGAGAATAATGTCCGTGGAATTTTTTTGATCTCAGCAATAATAGTGGTAGAATTGATAACAATCTTTTTGATAACAATTTAGCAACCCAGTTAATGCTCTTTTTAGCAAGCTGATTCTGTCACGCTGGTAAGCTGCTAATTGTAACACTTGAAGCACGAAGCTTAAATCTCAATTTGTCTATAGTAACGTACATTGGTAGTTAATATTTACCATATAAAGATGTCAAATTTTCCGTCGAAACCATATCTATGATTTATTAAGCACCCGTTTGACCACCTTACCTGAAAATAAACCGAAGAAAAGACAACGCCGTGTCTTTTATAATGAAGAAAGTACGGTTTGATTTTTATAAAAATGAGTTCTAAAAATTCTATGTTCTTAAAAAGTTATGCATATGGCATTAACGTGAGTTGGAAAGGTGACTATAATTAATGATCAGAGAATATTACATGAAGGAGAACCATTCGAGAAATATGACGTCATTTCTAAGTTTTATGCAAAAAAATCTCACAATGACAAATTTTCGGGGTTATTATCCCAAAAAAAACATTGCCCGCAACCGTCGCCACTTCAGTTTTGTGTCATATTGTGTAGAATGATTTAAAAAATCAGAAATCTCAAAATCTTTTTTGGCGATGCATGCTCTGCAAGTTTTCTATAAGAAAATTCTACTGAAAGTTGATGTATTTGCAACTTTAAAAGAAAATATGGAAAAATGCATAAATTCATGACGTCACAAATATTAGAGGTCATTTTGGGAAAACTATTTGTATTTTTTAATGCCTGGAATTTCAAAATTTCAAATTTGTATTGAAACCCTACCTTGTTCTTTTCCATTTTAAGGAAGCCCATTACACCACTTTTTGATGACGTACTACACAAAAAAAAAAATAAACATCCATTGTTTCGACCGTTTTCCTCAGGGGGCGAATTGTACATGTACCTTTTTTAATATGACCCTGACCTTTAAAACACTTTAAAATTAGATGAAACATGCGGTGTTATAAACCGTGAAAATAAAGTAACGAATTCATTATGCATAAACAAAAAAGGATTACTTTTAAGCAGAAACAAAAGAAAACAACAGCCAAATCTTCGCCAAACAAGTAATTGTGCAATTTCATAGCGATGCACGCAGTGAGCTCTATCAATAAATGAGTTGTTTGTATGGAGGAAATTCGAGTTAAAATCTACAACCTTGTTGAAATTAAAACAAGAGGCCCAAGGGCCTTATAGGTCACCTGAGTATCATGTAACAACTTTCCAGCGATTGTAGTTGGTTCATGTTTTAACCGAAAAGCCATGAAATTCAAACATTTTGGAGCACCATTGCTTATCAATGGGCAGATTTCAAAGCATTAATTTATTTTTATGGAATATTCATCCCCCTAGTAACCCTGACCCAGTGGCCCTGAAATTATCTATTTTGAAAGAGGCCCCTTTCTTCATTATAAGGCCAGCATTTTTTTTATGTTTAGGTTTAGTTATGAACATGAGAATAAAAAAGTCCCAAAGGAAAAGGAAATATTTTTTTTTTTTCATAAATCAATTATTAACATTTGTACATTCTTTTTTTATGATATTCTAATAGGCTTATTAACACTGGACACATAATGCTTACAAATAGGAAAGTAGAACATTTAATTGCTTATTTCATCATCTGCCAGTTTGGGCCAGTCATATAAATTTTGTGATGTTGGTCAAAATATATTTTAAAAAATCAATTCTTTAAAAGTCTTTCAATATCTTCATTTTTTTAATAGCACTAGAACCCCTGACCACAGGGCCATGAATTTCACAATTTTGGTAGAGAACTCATTGCTGATTACAATCATGCAAACAGTTTGACTGCTTGATGTCCAGGAGTAAAGAAGAAGATTTTTAAAGATTGCATTAATTTTAGTGGTTTTGCCCCCACCCCTCAGGCCCAAGGGGGCAGGGATATGAAATTCACAATTTCTGATCCCCTTTACCCATAGATGCTTTGTGCCAAATTTGGTTGAAATTGGTTCAGTGGTTGCAGAGAAGAAGCTGAAAATGTTCAAATGTGAACGCACTACGGACGACGCACGACGACGGACGAAAACAGATAAGAAGGTCACCTGAGTTTACTCAGGTGACCTAAAAAGTTTATATACTTGCACTATTTACTGTTTTGGTGTTAATTTATATATTTGCTTAATTGATTTAAATATATACTCTGGCAAATTAAAGCTTTGTTCTGAATTTTAGATTTAATATGTTCAAACGTTCCTTAGTGTTTTGAGTATAAGGTAATTAGGAAAGATAAATCTTGAAAGTGGACTTTTTATACCAAATATTTTTTGAATTGGAATTTTCATTTCGTTTAAACATTCTTCATTCAATTTGTCACATGTCTTTCATTGAAATACATTCCTTGTCTTTTCAGAACTCATTTTCTTAATGTTTTATGCACAGATTAAAAAGATAATGACATAAATTGTTTTTTAGGATAAAAATATTTTTTCTAATAAAATTAATCATAGGTGTTATGAGGTATTTTCACTGTGTGTACCTGTCTTAAGAAGATACCCATCATTTGATACTGAAAGTTCTGAAATTCTGGTAATAAAAAACTTGAAATAAAACATTTCACTGAAATTGGAAAAAATTACCAAAATATATTTATGATATCAATACCTCCATTTGGATATTTGACATCTACATTATAAGTTGTGCTGTAATGAAATCTAAAATAAACTGTGGGTGTAAAGAGCCACCTTAAGTTGAAGATGATAACATGACGAATTTGCCATGAAGTCATACCAACTTTAGATTGAAATTAATCAAAGCCATTAGTATTGAAAAACTAAGGGGGGCATAGTTTGGATTTAGAGATATTTAAGCCAAATTTAATTAATCAAGCAAGAATTAATCAAAAACACACAAAAACTATCCCATTCCGCTTGATCCTATACACAGAACCAAGACTTCCCTCTCCACCATCTTGATCTCCAAGTTCCCAATCAGGACCTGAAATATCAATAGTTTGTCTTAGTCCATAAAAAGATTATATAATAAAAATTTGTGAAAGAACGTCAGACTCTATACATTTAAGTGTTTGTAATTTTACCTCTTGTGACTATACACCCGACTGCTATTATTGTGTTATGAAGAATTCTTGGTTCACAACAAGTAGTGACCTCAAATTTAACCCTGTCCATCAAGGCTGCACCATATCTGTATTCATTTCTACCTCCAGAGTCCCATTCAACTTTTAACCATCCAGCTAACAACGATAAGAATAGCATCATGATAAAAAAATCTTTTGTTGAATATTTACATTCCGTGTATTTTTCCTAATGAAAATCATCAAAACCCCACGATATTCAAATTTCTATAACACACGCGAAACCTTGTCATCGCGCTTTAGAATACACAGTAGGAACTGTATGCATTTTCTATAATCTGGGAACACCAAAATGTACAATATTTGACTCAATTTAATTTAAAACTATAATCCTGTTAACTTAACATAAAAATAATACAAACGTGTGTTTAAAATTATTTTGTCACGTTTTTCCTCGCAATGTTTTGTTTGCGTTATTTAACTTTGCAACATCATCTGACATCACAAACGACTCTTAAGTCTATTAACCGCGTCAGTTTTAAAGGATGTTAAATTCACATTAAAGATTAACAAAATTAGCAATTATGAAGAAGGAAAATTAGAGAATGTAAATATAAGCATTGAATTCATATTTTTGGCTGTTTTCGGTCCTATAACACACCTGCCCGTGCCGACAAATTTATCATACCGCGCTTACGCGCAGTATTCAATTTGTCGGCCCGGCCCGGTGTGTTATAGGACCGAAGACAGCCAAAAATATGAATTCAATGTTTAATTAACAGTTTCTGTACTTCAGAAATACTGTTAACGGTTACATGTTTGTCTAAAGTTGGGTAAAGCAACATTATATGTTTTTATGTGCATGAAGTCTACTGAGTATTTGCCCCTGTCTTTAAATTTGTTGTTAAATACAAGTGAACGACGAGCAGAAGACACTATGTATCAACAAGAAGAGAAAACATAATGCTTGATGATTTAGTTCGGTACTATTAATATCATTAATTTAGAAAGGTCAGGGTCAGAGGAACACAAAAAGTAGCATTTCTTTTCAATGTTATATATGAAAATAGGGTCATAAGAAAAAAGTTTTTGTCAAATGTCCCATTGTAATTTGTTTTCTTTCCAGGATTTATGAATTGGTGTTGAAATGTTTATATTTCTTGTTGTTTTCTCTGTGATAACTGCGAGGGGTGATCAAAAAGTTTGCAAACTAATTGAATATTTTTAAAAATATTTTTCAAAGTGAGATTTTGAGTTTATTCTTTTTCAAAGTAGGCCCCTCTAGCTTTTATGCACTTTTCCCATCGGTCTGCCCATGCGCGAAACACGTGATCCAAGCCATCACGTGACATGACCCTTAGCGCCTTGTTCACAGCAGTACCAAGATCTTCCCGGGACTCATATTTTTCTCCCCGTAGGTTATCTTTCAAAACTGGAAATTGCCAGAAGTCAAATTGCCAAATCTGGGCTGTAGGGGGGATGAATTAGGTTTTCTATACCCAGTGTTTCCATGGTGTCCATCACAACCCGACTTTTATGGCTAGGTGCGTTATCATGGTGCAGAATGAATCAAGATCTTATCAAATCTGGGCGCTTTCTCTTTACTGCTCTCTTCAAATCTGATTTGATAACCCGTGCATAGTAGTCCCCAGTAACTGAAGTTATGGGTGGTACCATGTGATTTAGAATTATACCGTTGATGTCACAGAAAATATGAGCATAACCTTCCCTGCTGACTTGGTTACGCGTGCTTTTATTGGTGATGGCGAGGAAGGATGCTTCCAAATTGAACTTTGTTGTTTACTTTCTGGCTCATAGAAATGTATCCAAGTTTCATCACATGTGATGATTCTATTCATGAACTAATTTTATTCTTTTTCATATCTACTAACGTAGGACTGGCACGCATTCACTCTCACCCTCATTTGCTCTGGCAGAAGGAGGCCAGGGACTCATCTCGCACAAACTCGCCGCATGTTAAGCTTACTCGTTATAATCTCTTGAACTGTTCCATAAGACATGCTAAGATCATTAGCTATTTCCCTAATCGTAACTCTTCGATCTTTCATTACATATTGTTCAACCTCAGATACGTTTATCTCGGTACTTACGTTTAGCGGGCACCCAGATCTATCATCATCTTTCACCGTCTCCCTTCCCTCAATATAACGTTTCATCCACTTACTTATTGTACCTTTTGAAAGCCCACATTCCCCATAAACTTTATGTAAATCATCTTATATTTCCGTGAATGATTTACCTAGTTTTACGTAATTTTTTTTTGATAGTTCTTTGTTCAAGTACAATTGACTCATCCATTTTCGTCACAGTCGCCTCTATATTGACGTCATTTTTACATAATGACGTCATAATTATGACGCACATTTCAATATGACTCATACTGCATAAAGCACATGTTTAGGGCTATATTTGTGACAAATTTCATTCTTGTCAGAACTGTAGTTAGGTAGATAGAGAATTAGTTTGCGAACTTTTTGATCACCCCTCGTATTATACGTTATTGACTGGGTATGAGGGCAACATATGATTTGTTGGACGTGAAGGTGAAAATGTTGCCCTTGGCCGTGGCCTGGGGCAACATTTTCACCTTCTGGTCCAACAAATCATATGTTGCCCGAATCCCAGTCTATAACTGTTTTTAAGATTTAATCAATACAGACTATATTATCAATTACTTTACATGGAAAATTATGGCTTAATCAGTCAATATAAAGCAAAAGCCGAGAAAAGAAAAAAAAAATAATTATAGTTTTATTATATTACAAAAATTATTTATCACAAAACATACTCTTCCATTCTTCCTTACCTTTCTGGTAGCAAAAACTCTTGCAGCTCTTTACTTTAGCTAATTCCGTGTCGCCGATATTGAACGATAATTAATTAATAGTGACGTAGCAGTGACGTTGCGGTCAACAATTCTTATGCTGGACCGGCAGGCCAGTCAACATTGGAATTTTTAGACCGATCTATATAATAAACATTTCTTTTGTTTGACTTTTTATTAGTAAGAAATATATATTTATAAGGGTATAACAATTGAAGTTATATCGCCTGAAATGCATGTCGATCTCATGCAGTTGTCTGTGTTTCTAACGTCAGTGGGCGGAGACTATTGAAATTAGCATGTGAGGCCTCGTGTCTATTAGACAGCATTTTAAAATTTATATTTACATTTTTAAAAATGTAAGTATACCCAACAAAATATAAAATAATTCCTTAAATATGACAATTATAATTACACACACCATTCTTTGAATGTCCAATGACTGTACCGGGACCATGACTGTCCTGATCTGACCAATGCCAGTCCGGTCCTCGTTTAAGTCTTGTCCCATGTTTGGCAGACAAGGGTCTCAGCAAGTCTTGATGTCCGCTTCTTCATCATCGTCATTTGAATCAGAAGGATCCAAGGAATAAAATGATCTTTTGGTATAGATATCCAATATATCATCCTGGTATGAGTAATGATGTAATCAAAGAAATGTGTAAAAACTGTCATAAGTCTAAAGATGCCTTTTCAGATAGAAATATCTTTTCTTCAAACAAAAATACAGAAAACTGTGTTAAGTTAACAAATGATATACAATATATATATATCTATAAATACACAAATTACCTTGTCCTCATCTGAAAATATCGTCCCGGGAAAACTAGACTGTAATAATGAGTTGAGAGTTTGTCTACTAATTCCTTCTAAGTTTTGTGTGGCCGATAACAACGCCGCGGCTCTCTGTGAAAATGAGATCAGCACACTGCTTTCAGTTGTATGTATTCAATTTTCAGTTGTTCACCAGTAAAAAGATGCTGATTATATGAATTTTATTCAATTCTAAACGCCATTTTTATGAAACCTATATTTTTCGAATACACTTTCATTTTTTTTTATTTGAATAATACATGTACATGTATATACCAGATTGAGTGTATCTTGCAATCTGTTTAACTTCACGTGAATAAACGATCCTTCCTCCCTTTAAACTTAAATATTTAAGAAATGCCTGGAAGAAAAGTACAACAACTATTAATTTCTCTATATTTAGAATCTAAAATTGTTTTAAAGGTTATATTAGTCAATGCAATGGTCAATTTTACATTACCACATCTGGATTTTTTCCTACAGGTATGCAGAAAATCGGATGGTTCCTCCTTAGCTGTTTCACCACTTGCAGGAGATGATCTTTTGCCTAATATGGATGTAATCAGACTTTATAAGATATCAAAATTAAATACAGGGAGAGGTTGTTTATGGTTTGTCTCTTTGCACTACTTCTTTCCAATTTTTATCTTATCAATCCATGGCGGCTGTAACCAGTCGGCAGAAGATGCTCACTCCTACATGGCACCTGATCCCACCTCTGATGATTTAGAGGTCCGTGTTTGCTCTACTCCTAATTTGTTATGTTTAATGAGCTTTGAGCTTGAATACTGTTAATTATCTCCAATTTTTTCATCTAAATTGAAGTTAAAACGGAGTACCCAGTATTCATATTTGGACAAGCAAGCTTATGGCAAGAGGGTTTGTCGATCAGATATGTCATATCCTACAAGCAATTTTTATTAAAATGTTTCCAATTGAAATTTTAAACCAAATTAATCATTACCTCCTACCTGTAAGGTTTCATAAAAAGGCGAATCCTCTTCATCAGAAAATATATGGAAATCGGTTGGTCTTCCATCAGATATCAGAATAATTCGTGGTTGAACTTTGAATTCACATATTCCTTTCGAGTAGCCTTTGCAAATATAAATATCGTACTAACAAAAACATGACAAATGTAATAAAATGGATGAATTCTTATTAAATAATTATGGACACATTAAGTGAATGGTCTTAACTGCACCAGATTCAAGGGCTCCAATGCTTAATAAAAACGCCGCTGTCAGTGGAGAGAGTCCTCCGTATTCCAACGTTTCTTCAAGATGATTGCAATGAATTTTGAAAGAAAAACATGCTTTTGAATTTTGAAAATTATATTTCTATATAAATGTTGCAACAAATCTTATCTTTTTAAATAGATAAGAAATTATTTTGCAATACAATCAATAAAATTACGTTTACCTAGACAGCCTTTAATTTCAGAATAACAATTTGAATGGTAAAATGAAATCTGGTGATTTTTCCACAAACAATAACAGCGATGTTCTCATCTTCCTGTGAGTGATTAGCAAACTCTGATAATGAGAAATGTTACATACTTCTAATATTTAAAAACTATTCAAAAAGTTTGAATTTACTCCAAGGTACGGTATATAATCTTATTCGCCTACATGTAGATCAACAAAAAAGGGTGCATCAGTAAACGGCTTAATGCTTCTGATTAAAAAGAATACATGTATCCAGTAACCTCCCTTACACTATTACAGTTAACGGTGAATTTAGCACTAAGTATTAATTAAACGCGTTGATTTATTTTTTATTAAAATGGATAGAAAGTATATCTGTCTTACCAAAAGTTTATTAATTTGAAATATATTCATCAAAATTAAAATACATGTAAATATTTATCATTAAAACGTTTTTCTTATGTTATCTTACCATCAATGATTGTAGAAAATATATCCTTTATTTGAATGAAGCCCTGTTCACCAATACTTTTAGAAGTATCCAAAATAAAAATATTGCAAGGTCCATTCCCCTGCTGATAACGAAAACTCAAGGCCTTAAAAATAAATACAATGCAATCTTTTCGATCTGTATAACATTTAAGAAATAAAGTCCGCGTTTTCGAATTCGTGAATGTTGCAGGATAACCGACAAGCTTAGAAATGTTGGTTTAAGATAAAAGCCGAGGCTTTTATATTTCAAACAACATTTTGAGACCAAGGAGGTTTTTCTGCATCATTTAAGACAAGAACTTTATTTCTATTCTACTAAGAGTTGCTAATCGCTTTCCCTGTAGAGAAATGAATTAGGTCACCATGCCTCGATTACGCTGTTCTATTTAACGCGAATGGGTAAATTGTTTGTTTACATGCGTACGGAAAGCAGACGATTTTAGCTTTTGCTGCATTAAAACTAGCCTTTTTTTATTATTACTTTATAAAAATACAATGACAAGAGATTTATCTTTCTGGACAATATCTCCATTTGTCTCCATAACGGGACTTAACTCATCCATTTGTCTCCATAACGGGACTTAACTCATCCATTCGTCTCCATAGCGGTACTTAACTCATCCATTTGTCTCCAAAGCGGGACTTAACTCATCCATTTGTCTCCATAGCGAGACTTAACTCATACCGAGTAACATATGATTATAACTAAAATCACGGAGTTCAAATATTGTGTAGGAAGGTTCGTGGAACAGCCCTGTCTAGCTATTAAAACCTACATTCATCAGCTACTTTATGCAAATACAGTTTTTAGGCTTCGACACGTCGATGTGGTCTAAATACGTATTTCATTCTAAGTCAAATATTCATTTCAATTGCACAGGTTTGAGACTTGTTTCTCGCATAATCACCAGTGTAAGATTGACTTGTCCGGTGTGAGACAGCAGTGTGAGATTTTTCTGTCTTACACTGTGTATTACTACGCCAGAACGAGAACGTAAACATTCCTTCATTATATAAAAAAATTGTAACAATGTAAAAAATATAACACATAATTAAACTGTTGTCATTTAACTTATTGAAATAAACTTATTTTCATTCAAAATATCGTCGTATTTTCACTTTTTAAAAGGCACTATTTTTAGATCGCGGAATGATTCTTCTTTTACGCTGTTGGATAGATAAGTTTTTATTCCCCAGTTTTTATCTTTCTGATTAATTTACATGGACTGAAAATTATTTTACGAAATTAGACTACGTGTAAACCATTTTCAGGTACGTTCTCTCCGACGGTGTATTCAGATTTTTAATTAGATGGAAAATTAAAAATATTTTTTAAGCCCCATCATGGCGACGTCATTGACAGGCCGTTATTTTGGATAAAATAATGCGAGAAAAATAATCGATTCATTACATATTCGTGTGGGGATATTTGAAATTCCACCTTGGGGCCCAAAATTCACGGTCTGATCGGCAAAGCCTGTCCCAACTGTGAAACTTGTCCCCCCGGTGGAATTTCACTATCCCCCACTGTAGTAATGAATATTCTTTTTTATGTTCCCCCAAAAGGAGTTTGGGAACTTTTTTTTACTCTGTTTCTTATTATTATTATTTTTTTTTTTATTTGTTTCCGGGATTTTTTCCGCAAATGTTCTCAGAAACTGTTCACCCAACTGAGCTAAAACCTTTTTAGGGCTAATAGGTGTGTAGTGTAGGTGTGCGGAACGAAGGTCATTTTTCGCGCATACGCCTGCACGTGCGTGCGCGTGAAATGAGTGAATTGACTGATATACCTAATATAGCTATAACATATATTTTTTGATGAAATGCTTTGAAACTCATTACATAAGGATATATTAAAATTGTTCATAATATGACACTGTCAAAT